ATATATATTATATATAGTATATATATATACACGATTTAGAAAGAAGTTCAAAAGCAATTTCTTTGACCCGTCCCACGTCTTCAATTGGTTTCATCAGCAAACAATGACGTCTTAGACAAGTCGAACTATATATATATATATATATATATTATAGCATTTGTGTATCTTTCTGCGTTTTATTGTAATTTATATATGACAGTAACTAATTAGCACTACTATTTAGTCCATACAATACCTTTTTAATATAAATATTTAGAGAAATATATCTCTAATACTAAACCAAATGTTTACTATTAGTGATATAAGTTCTAAATTACATTAATAAAATCTACAAAATATAATAATAAAGTCATATTTATTCTAATCTATAACATATAATATTTTGCATGGAATATCTGCTTTAATCACTCGTACAGATACCTTTCCCATATAATATTTATACATATGATATGGACAAAAGTTTTATGGTTATGCATAACCACTTGATATATAATTGTCTTAAATAAAAAGGAATCTATCAATATAATATACCTTTACATGTGATGTGAACCCGATCGGGGTGTGGATTGTTGACCCGGCTTATAAGGAACATCAATAAAATTTAACAGTCATAATAAATAAAATGATATATATATATATATATATATATATATATATCGGTTTGGAATATATATCCCAATCACATATTTAAATCATAGATATCATGTTTTAATAATTGAAATTCGATCAAATTATTCGTTGTGGATTATTTTCTGCTAATTTCGGCCACCCTTGTATAAAAAATCTATAATTAAATGAATACTTGAATTGGAAAAATAGAACTAGGACAAAAAAAAATAAGGAAAGAAACACACACAGCGAGTCAAAACTATTTTGGTTGGTTTATCTTAAATAATCAAGTCGATATATTTATTTATTTTAAATAAAAATATTCAGGTCGACAACAAGTGACATGGACAACAAGTAGCCAATTGAAATTACCTTCAAGCCCTTCATTTGTTTTTATTTATTTGTGACTGAAATTATCTGTGAACTCATTATTATAAAAAATGCAATAAGATTTTTCTATACGAATTTTGTTTTTTTATAGATAATTTGTTTTTTTATAGATAATTTTTAATTTGATAAAAAAATTTATTTTAATTTAAAATTTTCTAAATATCTATATCAATTGTTAAAATTAATAGTAATTACATACATAATTATTATTTTCGTTAAAATTTTTTGAATTCTATTAATTAATGCGCTGACATGTATAGTAATTACATACATAATTATTATTTTCGTTAAATTTTTTCGAATTCTATTAATTAATGCGCTGACATGTATGGTAGTTATAGTAATTATCTAACTAATACATTAATTAATAGAATCCGAAAAAAGTTAACGAAAAATAATAATTATATATATAATTACTATTAATTATAACAATTCGTATAGACATTTGAAAAATTTTGAATTCAAATATAGTTTTTATCAAATTAAAATATATATATATATAAAATATCACATTTGGCTAAATTCGTGTAGAAAAATATCATTTTCTCTTATAAAAATTAAATAATTTTCTTCCAATTTAATTCAATACTTTGGTATTTACACCAAATCTAAATATAAAAAAAATATTTTTTGTTTGCTATTTTGACTCCAACTACTATTCTTCTTAAACTCTAATTTAAAAAGAATGCAAAAATTATTATAACGATCTAAATTTGATATAACATACTAGTTAAATCTTCATTTGTATTCTAAAAAAAATTAGTTTATTCAAAATCGAAATAAATCATGTAATGTCTATAGTGGAAATGTCAAACAATTAAATTCATTAATATAGGTTTGGAATATTAAACAAATAAAATAAAAATTCTAAATCATTGTGTTTACAAAAAAAAATGACAAGGTGAGAGGAAGAATAATAAAGAAAAACTCAAAAGGATATTGGGCAATCTAATCTCCTAATTTTTTAGACTTTTCAAATTTATCCAAACATTTATGTAGTGGTCAATTAAACTCCTAAATTGAATTTTATAAATAAAATTCATTTGTTATAGGCAGCAAACGCAAGAGAAAAGCGATTTTGAAGGAGAGTATGAGAAAAAATGCGATTTCGAAAGAAATCAAGAGAAAAGAAGAGATTTTGAAAGAGTTTAGGGGTTTCATCTTTTTCAATATACTTATTGTCGATGTCGAATATTGAAAGAGTGAGCGAGAGATAAACAAAATCGAGCGGTAGAACGATACATTTGAGGTAATAAAATATTTAGTCATATGAATCATATAGGATCATTTTAAAATATATATAGATGGTATGAATCAAAGAGTCATACGATTCACATGGGTCTTACAATCGCATGAGTTTTATATTCTCGAAGTCTTACACTCTTAGAATCATATATAGATTTCACTCTCAGAATCGCATAAATCTCAAAATCTTATAGTCTCAGAATAACACGAGTTTTATAGTCACACGATAACATGAATTTCACAACCTTATTTAAGTCTTATAATTTCAATATCGTATGATCTATACTGTAAAACATAAATAAAAAATAAAAGTATAATATAAAAAATAAATATTTATAAATGTATAAATAAAATTGACTTTTTTTTTATTTTTTAATCTAACAATATATCTTGAAATAAAATAGCAACATAAAGATATTTTTTGATAATTTTTCTTGCCAAATATAATGTATAGTAATTTTATATGCAGTGGATCCAACATCACAAAAACTTCAATTAATACCCACTTTTAATAGGGGAAACTTCTATTCTACCCTCAATGTGCTACAAGGACTTCTAGTACTACCCTCCTCTTGAAAAAAAAAAATTCCAACATCCAATCTACCTTCTTTTTTGTTAGATTACCAAAATAACCTTGTAATATTATTTTATATTTAATTTTTAATTAAAAAAATCTTTCATACCCTAATTTCTCTCTCTTCCTTTTTTGGTTTCTCTTTCCTCTTTTTTTCTTCCGATTTCTCTCTCCTCCCACCATTAATCTCCACCAAGCTTTCTCTCTCTTCTGTGCTTTCTCTCTCTTTTTTTTTTCTATTTTGTCTTAAAAATCCAACGAAATTAGACGAAATCAAGGATAAATCAATGAGACAATTAGAAATATACAAGCTACTCTCAAAATATCGGTTTTTTCATGCACATTTATGGATCTTGTTATTATTTTCTTCTAATTTTTTATGTTTTTGTTCTTTTATCATTTGTAATATGTTATAGTCATATATATATGTGTCATAGTATGTTATGACAATTCTGATTATTTTGAACCATGTGAGCACGTGATCTTGTGACCTTATGAACCATGTGACCATGTGACTATGTGACTATGTGACCATGCGACCATTGTCTATTTATGATCTTGTGATCATTGAAAAAGACAAAAAGGTTTTTGGTGCTAGATCTGCTTGATAATTATCTTTCCAAAACTGTGGAATGGCCTGATACTTTGACATATATGTCTCTTTTATTACACATTACATAGAAAGTTAACTCATATGATCATTGTTGTGACCAATGTGTGACCGTGTGATTGGAAATATGTAAGCTAATGTCGAAATCCGATTTTTTTCATACAAATTGGAGAGAATGATTAATTTAGAGTGAAGAGAGAGTCATAATTTTTATAATAATTGTGTGATGTATTTGTATTATAATATGTTACAAAACATTTGTACAATAATATCAAAGAACTGTAGTTAATGATGTTGTAATGTGTTTGTACAATGTAGTATTAAAACCTTTAAATAATATTGTATTTGTACCATACTAAGGTTGTATTATTGAAGATAAAATTTTGCATATATCTGATTCGTATTACTCACTAAATAAATTGACTCACACGAGCCAACGTTGTGACCCATTGTGACCGGCATGTGACCATGTGACCGAAGTGCAATTTTACACTATGTGACCACTGTGACCGACTGTGACCCGTGACCGAAATGTGTTGATAAATATAGGCCAAAATTTAATTTTAAAGCTTCGGAGTGGTTTATTAGAGTCTATATATCAAATATATATTGTGTGAGAGAGAATTTCAAAATATTTTAAGGGGATTATGGAATAAATATACCAAATTTGTCAAAAATACTCATAAAACATTATGAAACATATAGGAACACATTTGAAATAGCAACTTTGAAACCAAAAAATCGCAAAAACCATATTTTAATGTTCAAAACAATATAAAATAGACTTATGAGAGATATGTGACGTTGTTGATCGATTAAATTGACAAAAATCGCATGGATCGAAGGTTGTGACCGGATGTGACCGACTGTGACCCATTGTGACCAAAAAGTGTTGTGGGGTCCACACGAAGAACTAGTCAGAATTTTTTTTCAGATTTTTGTGTTTCGTGGGGCCCAGTTTGAATATTCAACCCCTCATTAACCCTATAATTTTTTCCTCCCAAATTTTAACCCCAAGTTTTTTCCCTCCCAAATTTTTACCCTAACTTTTTTCCCTCCCAAAATTTTTCAATATCAATTTTAACCCCAAATTTTTCTCATCCAAATTTTAGCTCCAAATTTTCTTCCTTCCAAATTTAAACCCCAATTTTTTTCTTCACAAATTTTAACCCCAAATTTTCACCTACAACATTTTAAACCTATAATTTTCTGTAAAAAAACATTAAGTAGTTCAGATTTTTTTTATAATATGGGATCTATTTTGATCGGTTGTGATCGACTGTGACTCATTGTGACCGAAATGAGATGTGGGACCCATAATTTTTCTCTTATTCCATTGTGTGGACCACTTTGACAATTCAACCTAGATTTCTTGTGGAGACTACTTTGACAATTTAACTCATTTCATAATTGAAAAAAAACGTAATTTTATTTTAACCTTATATTTTTTTCTCCATCAATTTAAGTTTAAAATTTTTTATACAATAATTTAGACCCATATTTTACATAAAACATAAATACATTCAGATCTAATAAACAGAAAACTAAATATAAGAGTTCATAATTTAGTCTACTGCCAAATAACGAAAAACATATCATAGTTATGGTTCAAAACAAAATAAACAAAATAAATTTAGTGAAATAAATTAAAAATTTACACTTTCGTCTTCTGAAATATTTGTTGTCATGTCTTCCGATTCTACTCATGCGTTGATCAGCTCTATGAACATAGTATCACAAGTCAAATAGTCGCATCCTATGTAGGTCACGTATTGCTTTATAATGCAGATGTGGAGTTCATACATCATCTCTTCCGTGTGCAGTGTGCTACAAAATAAAATAATATATGTCAATAATATTTTCTAAATATCATCGTGTGACACTGTGACCATGTGACTGTATGACTATAAAACTATATGACTATAAAACCGTGTAACTATGTGACCATGTGATCAGGTTCGTTTTCAGATGTCGTATCCAAAACTGAACCCTTCCATCTGTATTCCCCTCATACCCTTCCAAATAAAAAAGAAGTGTTTCTTCACCCCTTTCTATATGCAATATAGTCAATCGAAATCGTGTGACCTTGTGACCATGTGACCTTGTGACCATGTGACCATGTGACTATGTGATCATGTAACCATGTGACCATGTGACTCGTGACTATTGTATATTGTGATATAGGCGTACCTATATGACCCTGTGATCCTGTGAACTTTGTAACTGTGACCGTGTGACATTGTGACCATGTGACCTTGTGATCATGTGACCATGTGACTTTGTGATCATGTGATCATGTGACCTTGTGACCATGTGACCATGTGACCCGTGACTATTGTATATTGTGATATAGGCGTACCTATATGATCTTGTGATACTGTGACCGTAATTCGACCTATATGACTGTCTTATTTGACCGAAACACAACCATTTCACTCAATTTGATCCATAAACCCGCAAACCAACATTCTATTTTGAAATCCCCAAATTTTAAAAAAATTCAAAACCCTAATGCTTTATCGTTCAAATCCCCGACCCACACTTCAACTCAACAAGAACACATCTCAAAATCAAACAAACTTGCAAATAAATTGAATTTTAATCTACCTTGTGTTCATCTAACTCCGTAATCTCCATAAGGTTCCTATTTTTGCTCGAAAAATGTGACGAAGATGAACATGAACTTGTCATTTCTTCGATGTCGTCATTGCTTCTTCTATCTCCTCAATTTTTGGTGGCTAAATAAAATTTGAAAAGCCCAAAACCCAAAATTTCTATCGATCAAATTCCAAAACCACACTTCAACTCAACAACAACAAATTTCAAAATCCAACAAATCTAAAAGAAATTGAAGTTTATAACCTACCATGTTTTTGTCTAACCTTGCAATTTCCACGCGGTTTTCATTTCTTCTTCGAATCTTGAATCTAACCGGAGATTTAAATAGAAAATAGAACAAAATGCAAAAGATTATAAGTTTTGAAAGAGAGAGAACTAAAACCGTGAGAGTTAGGAGAGAGAGAAGAAAAAGATTTATAAAGAGAGAGAAAGTGGAAGAAGAATAAAATTAGGAGAGAGAGAGGAGAATAAAAGTAAAGTTACGTGACTTTAATTTTTTTTTAATTTTGAATTTTTTAAATTGAAAAAAATAGAGGGTTTTTTGTCTTTTCATTAATATATGAGGATTTTATTGTCTTTTGCCATGGTGCATAGTGTTTTTTGTTTAATTTTTTGTTTGGAGGGTAGTATGAGAAGTCCAAATAGCAGTCAAAGGGTATTGCAGCTATTTCCCCCTTTTAATATGTATATATATAATTACAAAAAAGGAGTACATCATGTTAATTGTGAATAGAGAATATTAATATTTTCAAATATATTTACCTATCATCTTTAAATATATTTATTTGCGTAAGTCATTGTTACGCAACGTTCTACAAATTGTCATTTCAGTCAAGGTTATAGTAATCAATGGAATTTTTATAATTTTATTTTTAAGAAATTGTTTTTTGACCATTTGACCCTTTATCGTGGGACATATGGACATGAGCTCAAGTGGTCTATCCCTCATCTATTTAAATACGCAGTTAACAGACCCGTACTTGTTCTTAATTTCTCAACCCTCTCTCTCTCTCTCTCTCTCTCTCTCTCTCTCTCTCTCTCTCTCTCTCTGGCAAACATGACGACGGCTCTCTCGCCGGAAAACAAGGCCACGGCGGCGCCGGAGAAGGCAGTGCCGGAGATGAGCATGCCGGCAAAACCAAAGAGGAATAAGTTTGCTTTTGCTTGTGCAATCTTAGCCTCCATGACTTCAATCCTTCTTGGTTACGGTTAGTTTCTTTTCTTCGTTACTTCTTCTTTACTTTTTTTTTTTTTGTGAAAACTATTTCCTCTGTGGTACATAGTCAAACTTGGTCAATGGTTTACTCTTTGCATTATCAGTTTTACTAATTTCATCATATATATATATGTATATGTATTGGCGATTTTTTCATCACAATATATATTCAAAGTGCAAAAAAAACTATAATTTTGAAAACCAAAACAAAATTTGAAACACTGCAAATATATAATTATAGTATTTTTTTGTCAGCTGTGAGATAATAGGTGATCTTGGAAGATAATATGAGTTTAAGCGGCTAAAGAAACCCCCAACTTGTGAGGAAAGAGAAAAAAACCTTTGGATTTTTTTTTAAATTATAATATTTTAAATGAATAAAAATATCCGAAATTTTGCAGAGTTAATTTTTTAAATCCTAAAATTTGGGATAAATTAAAAAACACAATGAAATTTTATTTTATTTTAATAAATTATAACATTTAAAATGAGCAAAAGTAACGAAAACTTCCAAATATTGATATTTTTAAACCATAAATTTGCGGTAAAAGATAAAAAAAAAATGATAATTCTACTGCATATATTTGGAGTTATTATCCTTATTTTTCTGAAAAAATATATTTAATTTTTTATGGGATTTAGTTTAGTTCAGTTTTTTAGTTAATTTGTGTTCATTTTTTTCTTAATAGTAATTTATTTCCCAAATAAATTTTATTTTATTTTATTTTCAATTATCTTCATATTCTATTCGGTTTTGGTTAATTTATTTAAAAAAATTGTAAATTTTAGATTGTAATCATTTTAGATATTGTTATACATAATTATGAATAAATTTTTTACCAAATAAAATTGTTCTGCCCTGGTTCTTTCTTCCGAAAAAAAAAAAGGTGCCAAGTCAATCATCCATTGTTTTAGTAAAACTAGAAAAAACAAAGGGATCAAACCCACAAGTGTTGTCCTAAAAAAAGTTTTTTTATTAAAAAAAACGCATGGATGTGTATACAGATATAGGAGTGATGAGTGGAGCAATCATATACATAAAGAGAGATTTGAAGATCGGAGACGGAAAGATCCAAGTCCTGACCGGAATCCTGAACATATTCTCCTTGATCGGATCGTGCGCCGCCGGCAGAACTTCTGATTGGATCGGCCGGAGGTACACGATAGTGCTGGCCGGAGCCATCTTCTTTGTCGGAGCCATCCTAATGGGTTTCGCCACCAACTACGCCTTCCTCATGTTCGGACGGTTCGTCGCCGGAATCGGCGTCGGCTATGCCCTCATGATCGCTCCCGTCTACACGGCCGAGGTTTCTCCGGCCTCCTCGCGCGGCTTCCTCAACTCTTTC